ATTGAGTCAGTTGAGTGATGTGGAACATGGAGCGAAGTAGCAGAGCAGCTGGGATGATCCAGGAAGGGAAAGAATGAAACAATAAAAACAGGAGGAGAGTAAATAAATAAAAATAAAAATAAAAATAAATAAAATACTGTAAAAGTTGAAAATGGATTTCGGAGTCGAAGGCGATAAACAGCTGGCGGAAGGGGATCGCCATCTGGGGTGTGACTGCGTGTTCTAGGAAATTGGCGCAAAGATTGAGACTTGTGGGACGCAGAGACGTTATATAAATTTATTTAATCTTTATTTTTTTAGGTTAAATTAAATTTAAATTATATTATTAATTTAATTTTTTTGTTTTGTTTTGGAGGAAAAATGAATTTAATAATTTATTTAATATTCTGTATTTATATATTATAAATACTGCTTCATATGTAATAATAAAAAACTAAAATATTACAAGATCTAATTGCTGAATCATAAAATGAAGTTATTATTAGGCTCTTGTTATCTTTATTATTTTATTATTACCCTAATGGTTGTCTAAAATAAATAGTTGTTATTACCTAAACTCAATAGACAATTATATTTTCTTATAAATAGATTAAAGGAGATGAGAGAGATAAAAAAATATTTATTATAGAATTTAAAATAAATTATTTTAATCTTCTACAAAATTATATGCTAATTTAATTTTTTATCATTTGAAAAAGTTTTTTATCACATGAATTTACTAATGGAATTGTATTCTAATTACAATCTAAATTATTGATAAATATTTAGAATAACGTTGATGATTGGGAACCTTATAGGTAGATCATTAGCTCTTCTCAATATGTTAGGTAATAAGACTGAGAATAATTGGTGTAAACAAATTTTATGAAGGAGACACCTCATTACAAGATCTAGAGTTTCTATTTATATTAATACAGTAAAAACTATGTCTCGTTTAATGATTATTTATATAAAATAATTTTGCAAATAAAAAATTAATTGTCTATATAATTAACAGTAGCAACTAACATAAAAATAAAAAAAAATAAAAAAATAAAATCTAACGCTAAAGCTAGATCACCATATATCAAACTCTTTGATCTTATTATTCTATTCCAGTAAACACTCCATGATATCATTAACTTGAGAGTGTTTTTTTATTTAAAAAAAAAAAAAAAAAAAATTGCTCATAAGTTATATATGTTTATTGTTAAGATTAAGATTATGTAGATGCAGCATCAAAAGGAACATAACGACTGTTTTCTATCCACCTACGATCAATTTTTTTGTAAGTTATATCAATTTCTTTAAAAGTAGCAACCAAGTTGTAAATGCCTTCTTAAATATCTCAAGGCCACAACCAATTTTGTTTTTGTCATTTTATTACCAAATCAACCTTAAAATTTTAGTATTTCAGGGATACAAACTGGGCTGGTTAAGGCAAACAATAGAAAATCAGACTAATGTTGGTAACAAGATAGTGTTATAATACTAATGAAACAATTTTGCTTTTTGTTTGTTGCTCCAATAATATATGGGAAACAATCTCCAAGCTCTCCTACTTACCACTAACTCAAAGTTTCTTGCCTCATTGAATGACTTCATTCCATCTACAAAATAAGTTGAAGCAAAGATGTTGAATATCCACAAGTCATTTCTTTAACATATCAAATTGCTGATACACTTGTAATTCAAAAATTTCAGACACTTAACTTATTTGAAAGAATTGGATACAAAATAAGTCTCACAAAAAATATTGGATACGCTTCACATCAATTCTTTGAAAGAACGAAAAAGAACCAAAATTCCTACCCGGTTGATCCTCGGTATTGTTCTAACATAACTATTATTGGCTTTAAGTATCAGAAATTTCCCTCGGGTTTGAACACTGGTAATTGGAGATAAATTCACGTGCAGAAGTAATAAAATGTAAAAGGGTATTGAATGATTAAAATTTTAATTATTTAAAACAAAAATCTAAAATAAATAAAAAAGTTAAAAGAGTATGACACCTTCCAGTGACATTGTTTGAGCCTGATGGAAACATGGACAACAGATAATAGTATATCCAACTAAAACTGTGACAGTATGCTACAGTTCTTTGTCTCTAATAAACTGACTTAAGCTCGTCTAGGATTTGGTGCCACAAAATCTGACATCTCAGAAAATAATGAGAGACCTCAGACAAAAATTCCCAGCTCAAAACTCTTCCTTTGATGATGGGATCTTCTTTAATCAAAAGGTAAAAGGAAACAATTGGTCAGATGGAATCCTCGTTTTTACAGAACTTCTTCATTTATTATTTCAGCTCTCTTCGTTCCAATTCCATGCCTGAACTCTGAATTGCCAAAGGGTGATTCCCGCTTTAAATTCTGAAGTTTGCCTGAAGTCCTACTTTGAACTTGCAATAAACAAGGTTTATTGCAATTTTCCTCATTCTCTGCCATAGATGAATATGACTCGTGATTAACCATATCGATGTCCTTGGAATCTTTTATTGCATCTTCAGAACCAACACCAATACTTGAATCTTTCTCACAATCCCATGCCATCTCTGGAAGAGGTGAACATGGCCCCGAATCAACCTCACCTCTACCTTCTGAGTTCTTTTCTTTAGCCAAACCTTCATACCTCGAGACATCCTTCAACTTGGTTGACCTTGATTGAGAATTTACCATATCTACATGCTCTGGATTTCCTGCTGCGTCACAATTAATATGAGAAGCGTCATATTCAACATCAGAAATTTCCATTCGAGCAGATGAATTTGACTCAATTTTGACCCCTTCAGTGCCCTCAATATGTTCGATTACAGATGCAGCATTTATTCCAACAATGGTTTCTGAATTAATTATATCTACATCCTCCAGACAACTTGCAGTTTCAGAACAAACTCGAAAATGAGAGTCATTCTCACCAGCTAAAATTCCAACCAAGGCAGAACCATTCTCAAAATGCTCTCTTACAGGTTGACAATCAATTTCAAGAGATTCTTTTCTGCTCCCAGTTTCCTCTGAATATGAACTACCATTAGATGATAGAGAACAAGAACTCTTAGCAGTATTAATTGACCCCACATTGCAGAAGCTTTCGATGTTCTCATTTTGGTGACATTCTATCATCTTCTCCCCTTTCTGCTCCTGCTGCAAAGGTTCATTCGTTGTACGACATGATGGCCGAGCATGAACCCTGCAGAAACGAGTAAGAAGGATTTTTAGAGCCACCACCTTCTCAACAGAAAACTATGACATTAAAAGAACACAAACAAAATGTTCACTCAGGCTCTGGCACATTTCAGCAGCCTACGTATTCTTTATTGACATGAAATAATATATCACTATCAATTCAGGCAAAGGAAAAAAAGAA